TCCTCTCAAGGTCCTTTGCACTTAGAATTACCTCTGGATTTTTACACTTCTATTCAAACTTGTTATCTGTCATTTTTAATGAATTTCGGTGACTATGGGATTTTTTTTATAGTTGTGGGAATTACTTTATTTTCCCAGAAGATTTATGGTACTCAGCTTAAGTCTTCATAAAGATCCTAAAAGTAGTTTCAAATTTTCATAAAGGCCTTTTCAAGTACATTCACACTGAAATTTTTGACCTGACTAGCTAAGATCTATTATTGTTAAAATGCTGTTTTGCTAAAAATAATTGAGAAGCTGACCACTACAACCTTAATGCTTTTAAAAGGCAGTCTTACCCAGTCTGCCTGAATATACTTAAGATTTTGCTGCACAAGTTGGGGAAGTTCTGCTAACTAGCACACCCCATTTGTTGCTACCTGCTGTACCCCATTCTCTGTTAACTAGCACACCCCATTTGTTGCTAACTATCACATTTTAGTCTCGGTTAACTAATATAATCTCTTCTCTGGCAACTAGCACATCATATTCTCTGCTAACTAGCCTATTCGATTCTCTGTTAACTAATATACTCTATTTTATGCTAATTATCACACCCCATTCTCTGCTAACTAGAATGCCTAGTCTTTGTTAACTACTATGCTATGTTCTTTGATAACTAGTACACCTTATTCTCTGCTAACTAGCATATTCCATCTCTGTTAACTAGCACACCCCATTATGTGCCACCGAGGGCACCTCGTTCTTTGATTTTGCTTGTTACGGGTGTCAGTGAATGACAAACACTCAGACAACAGATGGGGTAGGAAGATCAGTCTGTCCTGTAAGAGTAGAAACCAACAGACAGCCTGGGCTTTCATTAGAACATGTGCAATTACTGCATGTTCCTTGAACATTTATCCAAATGCTCCCTCTCTTATTGCTCTTGTACCCACTGTTGGACTTCAGAAGGAGCACAACCCCATTCACAGTCAGTTCCAGGGCTGCCTCTCCAACTAGTACCTGAGAAAATTAGACTGGACAACAAGAGTGATACAGCTAGCCCACTTCTGACATGATACACTCCCCTCCCTCCAACTGCTTTATTGTTTTCTGACAGTTTGAGGCAAGAAAGCTCCTTGCCTGTTCCACTTGCCATATGCACCATACATTTAAATAACACTTTCAAACCAAATGTTCTTATGTAGTTCAAGTCATATATCATGTGATTCCAAATGACCCTTAAACCTATAAGCCTATGATGGATCTGTGAAACACTTTCTAACAGGGATTAACCTGAAGGACATTGTGCTGGAGGAAATAAGTCAATCTCAAAAGGACAAATACTGTATGAGAAAACTTCCCCATAGAAAAGGAACCTTCTTTGATGGTTACCAGGAGTAGGTAGGGAAGAGAATCACTAACGGGAGGGTAGATGCATGTTAATTTGGATGAAGGGGAAGGCAATATATAAGAAGGAGGTCAGCAGAAAAGATGAAGGTGAAGGACGACACTGGGAGGAGTACAAGAGTTAAAGGCAACAACAGAGGCAAATCCCATTATCTGTACAACCTTGCAATAGTGATGATGCCTAGATAAATACCCAGGCTAAACAGATGTGGGAAGGAGAATGGAACTATACCCCCAAATGTATGTAGGTTTGACAGACGATATTATTACATATGTATTTCCCTATCTATGGATGTAGAGCATACATGAGAGAAAGTAATGGAAATTTCTTCCCCATAACAAGCACCTTGAGAGAATGAATGAATCCCTGAGACTAGAGACTCCAGATCATAGTTTTTTTTCTTGTTGCTTGTTTTGTGTTAATTATTTTATTGGGGGCTCTTATAGCTCTTATAACATCAATTGTATCAAGCATATTTGTACATATGTTGCCATCATCATTTGCTAAACATTTACTTTCTATTTGAGCCCCAGTTGGCATAACTCATCTACAAAGACAATGTTCTAAATCCGACTTTGGTGAGTAGGGACAGGTGTCTTAATAGCTTGTGAGCAGCCATCTACAGTGAGCAATTGGTCAAAAATCAGTGAAGGACATCGAAGATACGTAGGAAAAATGAGTTCCATGGGCTAATGACCACATAAACCCCAGTCCCCATGACCCTGAAGTCAGAAGAGCTAGATGGTGCCCAGCTATCACTACTGACAGCTCTCAAAGGGGTTCTCATGTGAAACGGGTCACATTAGGAGGTCTTAGACAGAGTGGAAGAAATATTTGGAACAAAACACAAAATCATAAAAAAGATTAGACTTACTGGTCTGCTGGGTCAGACTGATAGAACACCCAAGACTGTGGACCCTAGTTACCCTTCAGGTCTGGAATTGAACTCACCCCAAGGCTCCATTTTCAGTCAAATAATGAACTGAAAAACCAAACTTACCGTCATCCAATTGGTTTTGACTCATAGCGACCCTATAGGACAGGGTAGCACTATTTCTGAGGTTGTTAAAAATCTTATAAATCTTGATAAGAGCACAAAGCTTCCTCTCTCCCATGGAGCAGCTGGTGGGTTCAAACTGTTGACCTTGTGGTCCGCAGTCCAACATGTAGCCTACAATGCCAGTGGGTTCCGCAGTGAACAATGACACTTGGGAGCGCTATGTGCTCCTTAGGATAATCAATCATAATCATCTGTCATCATTCTTTTATTGTAGGGAAGGCAATAGAGCAAAATGAACAGTGAATCCTTTTCCAGATACTTCAGGACACCTAATTTTCATAGATAATAATATTGGTTCTCTTCACTAGATGTAAACAATTCATTTATAAACAGGTTATCTAGTGTGTAATCAAATAATGCATACGCTTACATTATTAAAACCTTTTTGCTTTCCTTTTTTAAAATGTGTGCATTTTCCATTTTCAAGGTAATTTGACCCTATTGCAGAAAGGTTTGAAAATTAAAATGTTTTTTTTCTATATTCCTACCACCCTAACACAACCAGCGTTATAATTTTAGCACGTCTTTCTGGTTTTTGTTTGTATGAACATTTTTGTTACATGTAAGTGGGCTTTTCTTTGTTTTGTTTCAGGGACTACCATATACATATATCCATTTTGTACCAGTATCGCAACAGTAATTATTTTCACTGCATTAAAATTTACCATTTAGCTCTATTGTAAGTTTTAACTGTTCACCTGTTTTTAGTTAGTAATTTCTTCTCACATTTTAGCCAGTTGAAGGAATAGTTTTATAATGTATAACTTTATGCACATTGAATTTTGGTTATGGTTATTGCTCTTAATTTTAAAAACAGTGTATTAACCATGTCAGAAATTTTAGTAAGCTGTGAAATTTTGGATGGAGCAAAACTTATGATTTTAGGGAGAAGAAGCTTATATTAACTTACCAACTATTATTCCACTCGAGATTTTATCTCTTCATAAATGAATAACATAAAATCATATAAAACTTGAGTGAGGTAGTAATTTTGTTTACATCTGAAGATTGGCCACAGAATAATTACTGTCCTGGACAGTTTAGAAACTTATGGTAGAAATCAGAGATTTTTTTTAATTGAGGGCCCCTGAGGACCTAAAAACACCGTGAAATGGAATGCAACATGTTTGATGTTTCTCAGTCTGTGTATTCTCGTGAGGTGAGTATCAGCAGAGAGTCAAAGGAATCCAATAGTTAGTGGTGTATATACATTATCTACTAGTTGAATGGAGTGCTACTGTTGTGAGGCTTTTGATTGTTGTTGTTGTTTCATCTTCCTTTCCTTTTCCTCTCTCTTTTATGATATGCAGTCATAGAACTGTGAAAAATGTTTCTGTCTGTGCAGTGAACATCACGTTGTAGAACAACTGACAAAACTTTAAAAACCAGAAAGCGTGCATGTGAAATTGCTCATTGGAAATACTGCCTCAATCTGTTTTGATTTGGGGATTTTCCCCATTAAAGTAAATAATTTAATGCTTACTGGTTAAAATTTTTCTTTGTTAAAATGTTTTTCAAAAAGCATGACCAGGAAGCTAGTCATTATCCAAATATCTACTATTAATACGAGCTAACAGGTTCTGGCAAATCCTTAATGAAGTGAGTGTGGAAATTACTCAGAAAATACTGTTATTTACTATATACTTATAATTTAATGCTCTCATTGCTTTATTAAGATATATATTAATTTGGTAGGCCTGGTTCTGCCATTGTCAATGACTATTATTGTTAGTTTTGCCTTATCACCTATTCCCATTGTTTGTGTAAGTGTCGAGTCCCTTAAGTGTTTAATCTGAACAAGTCAGGCGAATCCCCTGTGACTATAGACTGGGGATGTGAATAGCCTTGCTAACATATGGAGTGCATTGGAAAGTGGATCATGCATGGGAGATGTATTTAGGTTAAAATTTAACACCTTATCATTTGATCTCCCCTTTGACCCATTTTAAAGGTGTTCTCATTTGTAATATTTTCTGCTTTCTTCTTTATTGAGGTTTTTCTCTTTTTAATTTTGTTATTGTTGTTATATTTTTTGTGTCTTTGTTTTTGTATATTTTTCAGTATATGAAATCCAGGATGGGTCGATCTATAGAGACAGTAACTGGATTCATGGCAGGGGAGGCTGAGGGAGAATGGGAAGCTAATATGAGGAGTACAAGGAAGAAGAAAATGTTTTAAAATTTATTGTGGTAATATTTGTACATCTCTTCTTGATATAATTTAACTATTGAATTGTATGATATATGGAATAAATCTGTGTTTTTTAGAAATACTGAATTGTCATTATACCAGCTTATTCAGAAGGGTACAGATTTACTACCTGCACCAAAGACTTTCTAAAATTTTTGTGCATCTAAAGCAAAGAGATACTATATGCAAATCACCTATAATAAAATCATTTTGAATGTTATCATGCTCTCCTTTAAAAGATAAATTTTAGTCCTTATTGATTAGTGAGTGACAGCAACACTTTCTCCTTCCGTGGCACCAGTCTTCTAAGGTTGTTGGTTTTGGCCAAAGATTAACCAGTGTCTTTTGTTTTCCTCATAGGAATGGGCTGTTTTTGGGGCGCTGAAAGGAAATTCTGGATCCTGAAAGGGGTATACTCCACTCAAGTTGGCTATGCAGGGGGCTATACCTCCAATCCTACTTATCAAGAAGTCTGCTCAGGTAGGAAGACTGTGCTGGCTCATGTTCTTAGAACAAGTGAGCACTTGGCCCTGTTGGCCGGTGACAGGGTCCTGACAATGGAAATATATCTTTTTTGTGTTTCCTTAGTCTTCCCATTCATATACGTATACTTGCTGATCTCTCATTATATAGTCTCAGAAAATTATAAAATGTCTATAGAATGTGCCATTTAGAATATACTTAAGACTATGGTTCAAACATTATTAGTGTATGTATTGGTGGGTCAGCAGCTTCAGCTGGGCGCAGCTTGGCAGTTCTGTTGGTCTGGAGTGGGCTCAAGTGGTTACAATCAATTGGTGAGTTGCCAGGAGGGTGGTTGGCATAGGATGGCTTCAATCACATGCCCGGGAATTGACCTCCGTGGTTACCTAGCAGTGTAGGTCTTTACGCATTGGGCTGTGAACCACGTGATCAGTCGTTTGAATCCAGCACCCACTCCTCTTGAGAACGATGTGGCTTTCTGCTCCCATAAGGATTTATCGTCGTGTCAGAAACCTTAAACAGATCCCTTCGGAAGCATCGACTCCATGGAAGGGGACTCGACCTTTCTGCTGGGTTGGTTTGTGCTGGCTGGGGTCACAGGGCTGACTAAGTCTGTGACTTCAGCAGGTTAGCGTGGGGTAATTCACCTTGTGGCGGTTGCAGATAGCTGAAGAACACCAAGAGAGGACAAGCCCTATTCTGTTAGCCAACTCCAAGTCTTATTTACTCTTATTCCTTTGGGAAAAGCAAGTCACATGGTTTAGTCCCAAGCCAGGGTGGAATGGTGCCCCCAAAGCATGGATTCACCTCTATCACACAGGAAGGTGTGAAGAAATTGAGAATCGGTTTTTCAATAACCAAAAAGTCAACAGCTCAGATCCACCAGCTGCTCCATGGGAGAAAGATGTGGCCGTCTGCGCCCTTACAGATTTCCGAGCGTGGACGCTTCCTGGGCAGTTCTGGCCCGCCATGGAGCATCAGCATGAGTCAGATTGATTCAATGGCCATGGACAATGAATTCGTATTTCAGGAACCTACCACCTGGGCCACACATGTCACATACTAGACATGGGTTTTGGAGGGGAAAACTTTAAAAGTCATGCTACAATGTGGAGGTTGGCAAACTATGGCCTGCAAGCCAAATCCAGCTGCTGTCTCTTTGTGTAAATAACGTTTTATTAAAACACAGCAATGAGCATTCGTTCATGCTGTTTCTAGTCGCAGTCATGCTACAATGACAGAGTGCAGCGGTTGTGACAGAGACCAGGGGGTCTGTAACATCTAAAGCATGAGAGGAAGTAAAAAAATGTATATTGCTTTTAGGGGTTCGGTTCATGTATGCACAAATGCATCCCTAACAATCATGTTTCAACACGTCTCTTCAACCAGTGGATGATTGTAGAAAAGTTCTCTCAGCTGTAGGTTTATCTTCGTCTCCTTACCTGACTCACTGCTGTTCAGAGTAGATTCGGACTGACAGTGGCTCTATAGGTCGGGGTAGGGTTGCCCCTGTTGGGATTCTGAGACTGTCAATCTTTTCCGTGTAGAAAGCCTCATCTCTCTTCTGTGGAGTGGCTGGTGGTTTTGCAGTTAGTAGCTCAAAGTATACCCTACTACAGCACAAAAAGATACTTTTTGTGCAATGAAAAAAACTACTTTTAGGAGGGTTAATATAAATATTTTAATGAAACTCAAGAGGACATTTCCTTAAATGATTGAAACTTCTCAATAAGTTTTCAGGAATACCACTTCACCCAGAAGCACAGTTTTTAGATTGATTAAGTCAGGAAGACTTCAAAGATGAGCCCAGGATGGGAACACCAAAAATTGTGAAGAAACTGTTGTTGAAATCTAGAAACAAGTGGATGAAAATTGTAGAATTGCCATTTGTGTGAGGCCAGGTTGACTAGAGAAACAAATGCAGTGACACTCGTATATGTGTAAGAAAGAACTGTATATCAAGAAGCTTTATGTATCAGGAAAACAGCCCCGCCCAGCCCCGTCCAACTCAAGTCTGCAAATTCAAGATTAATCCCTAAGTCCTTCTTCAGACTCACAAAGCCGCGTGCAATGACGCAGGAAGATCACAGGCTGGTGGGTGCAGAGTGTAGAGCCAATGGCAGTGGGAACGTCTCAGGACTCTTGCAGGGTTCGGAGTGGCTCACTGGCATGAAAGTGAAGGGAGAGAGAGAGAAAGGGCCCTCCTACAGAGAGCCATCTTTCACAACTCCAAAGGAGGTCATCAAGCTGCGACCTGATTGGCAGGCTAAAGACCACTCATATCTTCTTATAGGTGCCATGTTGGCACCAAAAATCCAGCTATCACACTACTAATGCCATAGCTATTGAAACGATCTCATATGGTCTGGCATTTTCAATGGTAAATGAGTATCTTGACCTTAGCAAGCTTTCGGACAGATGGGTGCCCCAAAAATAAGCCCGGCGATCAGCACACTCAAGAGCTTATCTTTCCATCAGTCTTCTAAGCAATATGCCAGTGAATGAGGACAGTTTGATGGAATGAGTCAGAATAGAGCTTCAGTCTTGGACTTACAAACTGTAACTTCTAAGATGATCTGCTGAGACGGTTTAATTCAAAGCAGAGCTATCAGCTGTGAAGTTTATAGAGACTGGATTTGGGGATCCCCAGGGGGTAATCTTCATAGATTTTCTCAAAGGACATAGGATAATCATTGAGGCTCATAATCAAGGATGGTAAGAAAATTGGACCTATGTTGGTGAGAAAAAGCCAAGAAAGTATGCCAAGGAATTTTTCCCAACCACTGAGATGTACCACCTTCTCAATCTCTAGCATAGGAAGGGCTGTCCTATGAGAATTTCGCTGAGAAACCCCATCGTCTATAATCCAAAGCCCCGATTTTTCCTCTTAAGACTTCTTTTTGTTTCTCACAGAATTATCAAAAGGCACATGGTTTGAGCCCCTCAAGGACACCATAATTGCCATGTTTCAGTGGCATAAATTTGAGAGCTCATAATTCTTCAGGGAAGGTTTAGAGATAGAAACACCCACCACCTTCATAAAAAGCATAGACATAGATGGAGAATATGCTGAGAAGTAATAGATTCACATTTTGTTATTTTTGTGTAATATGATTTGATATGACTGTATAGCAACACTTTAAAATATTTTATTTATTTTTAAGTTTTAATAAATCATTTTATTGAGGACTCTTATAGCTCTCATAACAATCCATACATCAATTGTATTGAGCACATTTGTACATATGTTGCCATCATCATTTCCAAAACATTTTCTTTCTACTTCGGTCCTTGGTACCATCTCCTCTGTTTTTACCCTCCCTCTCTCACCCTCTCACCCTCATGAATAATTTATAAGTTATTTTCATATTTTACACTGTTCGCTGTCTCCCTTCACCCACATTTTTGTTGTTTCTTCCCCCCCCCCTGAGTGTGTGTACGTCGATCAGTGCAATCAGTTCCACTTTTCTCCCCCTTCTCCCCCCACCTTCACCCTACCTTTGTGGCATCTCTACTCTCATTATTGGTTCTGAGGGATTTATCTGTCCTGGATTCTGTGAAGAGAGCTCTTATCTGTACCAGTGTACATGCTCTGGTCTAGCCGGATTTATAAGATAGAACTGGGGTCATGATAGTTGGGGTTGGGGAGGGAAGCATTAAAGTACTAGAGGAATGTGTGTTCTGTCAGTGCTATACTGCACCCTGCCTGGCTAATCCCTTCCTGTGACCCTTCTGTGAGTGGATGTCCAATGTCTACAGATGGGCTTTGGTTCTCCACTCCGACCCCCTCATTTGTGTTGAAATGGTTGTTTGGTTTGGGTCTTCTGATGCCTGATACCTGATTTCACTGACACCTCGTGATCATAGGGGCTGATGGGCTTCTTCCATGTGGGCTTTCTTGCATCCTTGCTAGATGGTCACTTGTTTACCTTCAAGCCTTTAAGACTCCAGATGCTATATCTTGTAATAGCCGGGCACCATCAGCGATCTTCACCACTTTAGCTTATGCACCCATTTGTCTTCAGCAATTGTGTTGGAAAAGTGAGCATCACAGAATGCCAGGTTATCAGAACAAAGTGTTCTTGTGGTGAGGGGGGACTTAAGTAGAGGCCTAATGTCTGTCTGCTACCTTAATACTTAACCTATAAATATATATCTATTAATATATTTACATATGTACATGCCTATGTTTATACCTTTATAAATGTCTTTTGCCTTTAAGTTCTTTCCTCTATTTCCTTTTACTTTTCCTCCTGTCCCACTATCATGTTCAACCCTCATTCAGCTCCCTGTACTTTCTCTCAGCTACATTGCTCGAACCCCACCAGGCATTCTATGCCCTCCTTGCCTTTGATTTTAGATCTCTTGTTCTCTTGTCCCTGGATTTGTTGGCTCCTGTTGGTCCAGTTGTTTTCTCCTCAGGATAGTTTATCCTGTCTATCTTATATAGATAGACATTTGAAAAAAAAAAAAAACAGAAAGAAAAAGGGAAAAAAATAGCCAATTAATACAATGAATAGTACCAGGTCTGTCTGCTGGCTCTTATGAATGTTTTCCGATAGGGTCTGATGCAGTGCCAAGCCCTGTCCCTGCCCCCACAGTCTGAAGTCTATTTTCAAAATTCCTTGTGGACTTGGTGCTTTGCTCCCCTTGTTTCTCTGTTGTACTCGCTTCCTGTTACACCCTGGTGTGTATGTGTGTTGCCTGGTCAGACTGGGCAAAATTCTTGCACTGTTTCCAGTGCTACACACCCCTCTCCCCTGCCCCTCCAGCCACCCGCCCCACTCCCACACACACATAGCCCTGTAGGTCACTAAGGGGATGCCATTTCTTGTGGTAAGGCCAACCCAAAATTGGCTGCTCCTAGCAGGAATGTCATCCTTAAAACTTGGTGGGCTAGGACACTGGCCACTCTCTCTCTCTCCCTTTTGCTCTTAGTTTACTCCCATGTGGTCTGGGAAGACGTGTTACTCTCCCTGGGCTGCATCTTCAGTGTT